TTCATGTTGATCCTGCTCACAAGCCAATGAAGCAAAAATCTAGGCGCACGGCGCCACATCATGCCTAGGTGGTAAATGAAGAAGCAGAGAAGCACTCGGAGACCAATGCCATTTGGGAGGTGTAGTTCTTAGAATGGATATTAAATACGATTTGTGCAAAGAAAAAGAACGAGAAATGACATGTTTGCATAAACTTCACTGAACTGAACAAGGCTTGCCCTAACGATGACTTAAGGTGGACCAGTTGGTGGATGCCATAGAAGGGCATGAGCGCATAAGCTTCCTGGATGCCAAGTTTGGCTACCATCAGATTGCCCTCCATCCGCTTAACCAGAAGAAGACCGCCTTCATCACTCTAAGGGGGTTTATTGTTACATGGTCGTGTCGTTCAGTCTATAGAATCAAGGAGCTATACGCCAAAGACTCATGAACCAAATGTTCAAACAACAAATAGATAATAACACCATGGAGGTGTATATTGATGACATACTGGTCAAGAGCAGGAGAAGGAGNTCATAGAAGGGCATGAGCGCATAAGCTTCCTGGATGCCAAGTTTGGCTACCATCAGATTGCCCTCCATCCGCTTGACCAGAAGAAGACCGCCTTCATCACTCTAAGGGGGTTTATTGTTACATGGTCGTGTCGTTCAGTCTATAGAATGAAGGAGCTATACGCCAAAGACTCATAAACCAAATGTTCAAACAACAAATAGGTAATAACACCATGGAGGTGTATATTGATGACATACTGGTCAAGAGCAGGAGAAGGAGCGATCACATTGCGGACCTGAAAGACACATTCTTCACTCTCTGGAAGTACGAACAAAAATTGAATGCGGCAAAGTGTGCCTTTGGAGTTGGTTCCGGGAAGTTCCTTGGATACTTAGTAAGTCGGCGTGGTGTCAAAGCCAACCTAGAGCAGATACAAGTAATCATGGACGTACGAAGCCCTTGGACAATTTGAGAAGTCCAAAGACTCACTAGAATGTTGGCTGTACTAAATTCTTTCATCTCTTGGTCATCAGACAAATGCAAGCCCTTCTTTGGGGATATCAGAAGGTCTGGGATGATGCTTAGAATCAAGAATGTGAGAACGCACTCGAAGGGATCAAGGAGTACCTTAGGATCCTCCCAACCCTATCCGTCCCAAAAAGGGGGGAGATGTTGTTCCTTTACTTGGTCATTTTAGAATTCACTATCAATGGTGTATTGGTCCACAAGCATAAGCGCGAACAAAAGCTAGTGTACTACATGAGCAAGGCTCTATTGGATGCGGAAACAAGATACTTGCCCTTGGAGAAGGTAGCATTGGCCCTGGTCACAGCCACAAGGAAGTTGAGACATTACTTTCAAGCACACCCGATCACTGTCCTAACAGATCAACCCTTAAAAACAATTCTAAGGAAGGTGGACCTCTTGGGAAGGATAGCCAAGTGGGCGATGGAGATAGGGGAACATGATATTCATTACAAGCCTTGCACTGCTATAAAGGGGAAAGTGCTGGCGGACTTTATAGTAAAGTTTGTCAAAGGGGAGTCGTCTCTCCCTGAGGTGGAGCCCTCAACAGACAGCCAAGAATGCTCTTGGAGTCTATACGTGGACGGATCCTCCAACAGTAAGGGTTCTGGAATTGGGATAGTATTAGTCTCCCAGGAGGGAGCGGTCACAGAGCAAGCCGTTCGACTAGGCTTCAAAGCATCCAACAATGNCTGTACTAAATTCTTTCATCTCTTGGTCATCAGACAAATGCAAGCCCTTCTTTGGGGATATCAGAAGGTCTGGGATGATGCTTAGAATCAAGAATGTGAGAACGCACTCGAAGGGATCAAGGAGTACCTTAGGATCCTCCCAACCCTATCCGTCCCAAAAAGGGGGGAGATGTTGTTCCTTTACTTGGTCATTTTAGAATTCACTATCAATGGTGTATTGGTCCACAAGCATAAGCGCGAACAAAAGCTAGTGTACTACATGAGCAAGGCTCTATTGGATGCGGAAACAAGATACTTGCCCTTGGAGAAGGTAGCATTGGCCCTGGTCACAGCCACAAGGAAGTTGAGACATTACTTTCAAGCACACCCGATCACTGTCCTAACAGATCAACCCTTAAAAACAATTCTAAGGAAGGTGGACCTCTTGGGAAGGATAGCCAAGTGGGCGATGGAGATAGGGGAACATGATATTCATTACAAGCCTTGCACTGCCATAAAGGGGAAAGTGCTGGCGGACTTTATAGTAGAGTTTGTCAAAGGGGAGCCGCCTCTCCCTGAGGTGGAGCCCTCAACAGACAGCCAAGAATGCTCTTGGAGTCTCTACGTGGACGGATCCTCCAACAGTAAGGGTTCTGGAATTGGGATAGTATTAGTCTCCTAGGAGGGAGCGGTCACAGAGCAAGCCGTTCGACTAGGCTTCAAAGCATCCAACAATGAAGCGGAGTACGAGGCCCTTATTTTTGGCTTAAACTTGCCAATGCAGCGAGAGCCATAAAGCTGACTGTCTACTACGATTCTTCGTTGGTGATCAACCAGATTAACGGGGAGTTTGAAGCAAGACACTCTAGAATGAAAGATTACCACCATAAAGCAATGGCCTTACTTCACAAGTTTAAGAAAGTCAAAGTCAAGCAAGTTCCCCGAGACAAGAACGCCCATGTCGACTCCTTGGCATGTCTGGCCTCGGCATTAGATTCTAACATGACACAAAGGATCACAATGGAGTACCTTCCCAACTCTAGAGAACTCCCTGAATGTCAAAAAAGCAAGAAAGATGAAGTTAAGAGCTCCAAGGTTCTGGGCCTCCCTAGATCAAAAGGTGTACTGAAAGTCGTTCTTCGGGCCATTCCTGCTTTGCATTTGCAAGGATAAAGTTGAACCATTCTTGTAAGAGGTGCATAGAGGCATATGTGGGGGGTACTCAGATGGATGATCCATGGATCATCACATCATATCCCAGGGGTATTAGTGGTCGCGAATGCAAAGGGACGCGCAAACCTATGTCCAAAAATGCTATCAATGCCATAGGTTCGCTCTAATCATCAAGTAGTTGGNCTCTTGTAAGAGGTGCATAGAGGCATATGTGGGGGGTACTCAGATGGATGATCCATGGACCATCACATCATATCCCAGGGGTATTAGTGGTCGCGAATGCAAAGGGACGCGCAAACCTATGTCCAAAAATGCTATCAATGCCATAGGTTCGCTCTAATCATCAAGCAGTTGGCTGGGGATTTGCACCCACTGACCATTCCTTGGCCGTTTGCTCAGTGGGGACTCGACCTAGTTGGACCACTTCCAAGGGCCCTAGGGGACAAGAGATTCCTGATAGTCAGAACTGATTACTTCACGACGTGGGTCGAGGCGGAACTGCTTACTCACATCAAAGATACAGACACTAAAAAGTTTGTATAGAGGAACATAGTGACGAGGTTCGAGGTTCCCCATGCGCTTGTATTAGATAATAGGGCACAGTTCAATAGCGGGCTCTTCAATTCCTATTGTGAGCATCTTGGAATCCGAAACTACTACTCCACCCCTGCATATTCGCAAGCCAACGAACAGATTGAGTCTTTAAACAAAATCATCATCAACGGGATCAAGAAGAGGTTAGAAAAGGCTAAGGGAAAGTGGATGGATGAGCTCCTAAATGTCCTCCGGGCGAAAAGGACCACTCTTTGAACCTCGACAGGGGAAACGCCCTACGCCCTCGCATATGGAGTGGAGGCAGTTATCCCATTGGAAGTAGGCCTCCCTACCATAAGAACACAAGCTTTTGACATCGAGGACAATGATCACCAACTCAGTTTAGACATGGATCTCATAGAGAAAAGAAGAGAAGTGACTACCTTAAAATTGGCTAAATATCAAAAAGGAGTGTCAAGACTCTACAACAAAAAGGTCAAGCCCTGAGAATTCCAAGTAGCTGACTTGGTGCTTGGAAAGGTAGTGGGAACACTCGGGATCTATTAGATGGAAAGATNACAACAAAAAGGTCCAGCCCTGAGAATTCCAAGTAGCTGACTTGGTGCTTGGAAAGGTAGTGGGAACACTCGGGATCTATTAGATGGAAAGATGAGACCTAATTGGGAGGGCCCGTACAAAGTCACGTCAAAAAGAGGCTCTAAGTCATACAAACTAGAAGACATGGAAGAAAATGTTGTAATACGACCGTAGAATGTAATGAATTTGAAGAAGTATTATTTTTTAGAAGTAAAGGCTCCTTTTTCTGCTAAGTATACTGTCTCGGAAGGGGCATGGCTGCGGAGGCAGGGTCTTAGAGACTCTTGCCTCCAAATAATAGACAGGAGCACGCCTCCTAGAAAGGGCATGGCCCCGGGGGTAGTCTTAGAGACTTGCCTCCAAATAAGAAACAAGAGCACGCATCCTAGAAAGGGCATGGTCCCGGGGGTAGTCTTAGAAACTTGCCTCCAAATACGAAATAGGAGCATGCATCCTGGAAAGGGCATGGCTGCGGAGGCAGAGTCTCAGAGACTCTTGCCTCCAAATAAGAAACAGGAACACGCCTCCTAGAAAGGGCAAGGCCCGGAGGCAAAGTCTAGAAAACTTTTCTCCAAATGGAAATAGGAGCATGCCTCCTAGAGAGGGTATGGCCCCAAAAGGCAGAGTCTGAGAACCCATACCTCCAGGAGGGGTCAAGGGGAGCATGAATCCCAACAGATAACACCTGTAAGCTTTCATAAAACAAAGAATTCTCCAAGGAGGGAGGACCCTTTCCCCCAAGGAGGGAAACGATCTTTTTTCGGGAGTGAATACATCAGCCCCAAGGCTCAGCACTTGGGAAGTTTCGAAGTTAGGAGTTACAAGTAAGCAAGTCAGAGAATAAGTAAACAAGAACGAAAGGGAAAAAGTCAATAAAAATGGAACAAAGTCATTCTTCATTCAAAAAAGAGGGCTTTGTGTCCCCTAGGCTACACAAATTGCATAGAAAAGAAAGATTACAAGAACAAGAAAAACCCAAGTCTATGGCCCAGGAGGAGGCTCGTTCACTTTGTCGCCGAGGCTACCACCAACATCTCCAAATAGCTCATCGATGTTGGCATAGAGGGAGCCTATAGTAGGAGTGTTAGGCTGAGGTGTCGGAGTAGGCGCAGGCATAGAGATCAATTCCAGTTCTAGAGGAGGAGGAGGAGGAGCATGGACAGGAGTAGTGTCTGCTGGGGCCGAGGCTACAGTTTCAGTAGTTGGTGTCGAGCTTGACACTTGGGCATTCTCAGCATCTTGAGCTGCAACATCTGTTGAAGCTTGCAGCATCTCCTCTAAAGGGACGTATACATGCTCCAGGAACAAGGGGAACTCAACAGGGACACCAACAACCTTGGGGCTTCATCCCATCCTAGGTTGAAGTATTCTTTTTTCTGCTCCTTAAAGGCTACTAGGATGTCATCAGCACACTGGTTCATAATCTCCTGTTGAGTCTTGTTGTTAGCCTCTAGCTCAGCCTTGACTTTTATCTAGCTCCTGAGTAAGAGCGGAACAAGTCTTCTCCGACTTCGTCACCTTGGCGTCGGATGCCAAGAGCTATTTGGTTGACTCCGTTATTCTCTTCTTNGGTTCATAATCTCCTGTTGAGTCTTGTTGTTGGCCTCTAGCTCAGCCTTGACTTTTATCTAGCTCCTGAGTAAGAGCGGAACAAGTCTTCTCCGACTCCGTCACCTTGGCGTCGGATGCCAAGAGCTATTTGGTTGACTCCGTTATTCTCTTCTTGGCGTCGGCAAGGGCAGCACTTATTTTATCAGCATTCCCCTTGGCCGCCTAGATCTCCTTGAGGAGCTCGACAATTTAGGCTTCCTGGGAGGATAAATTCTTGGCCCTAGCTGCCACCTCCTCCTTTGTTGTGGTGAGAACTCTTTGGGCTTCGGCTTTTAGCCTCTCAGATTCCTAGAGCTGCTCCCGTTGCGAGTGGAAGCACTTAATAATGACCGAGACTTGCTGGGCAATCTATTAAAAAGAGAGAAGAGGGGTTACGTCAATAAAAAAAAGAGAAGGGAAATAAGAAAAAAGGGAACTAATTAAGAGCCTTACCACCAGCAAACTCTGGATAATGGAGCGAAAAANCCCGTTGCGAGTGGAAGCACTTAATAATGACCGAGACTTGCTGGGCAATCTATTAAAAAGAGAGAGGAGGGGTTACGTCAATACAAAAAAGAGAAGGGAAATAAGAAAAAAGGGAACTAATTAAGAGCCTTACCACCAGCAAACTCTGGATAATGGAGCGGAAAAGATGGTTGGTCGTCCTCCCCCAATGTTCCTTTATGTTGGAGCAAAACAATAATGTCTCACTCATGGCATAGGCAACTNCAAACTCTGGATAATGGAGCGAAAAAGATGGTTGGTCGTCCTCCCCCAATGTTCCTTTATGTTGGAGCAAAACAATAATGTCTCACTCATGGCATAGGCAACTTAAGGGGAGTGGATGATAGAATCGGAGATCCAGATTAGTCTGTTGTCACAATCTAGGGCCCGAAGTAGCCACTCCATGGTGGGCGGAGGATTTGGTGGTGGTGGTGTTATTGTTGTTGTTGTTGTTGTTGGAGGCGTTGATTTCGGAGGAGGGATGGGAGTTCCCCTTCCATGGTCGGCATCGTCTTGCCTTTGCTTGGACCTTCTCTCCTCCTCAGTCTGAGAATCCCTAGGGTGGCCTCGGCTGCGATCAGTTGATCTCGACGGCACCGGGGAATAAGAGGGAGGAGAAAAAGGGGGTGAGGGGTCCTTCTTGGTGGTGGAGGAGGGTCGTTGGAGCTGGACCCTCGGCCCCTTCTAGGAGCGAGGGTTGCCCTTTGTTTGATTAAGTCTAGGGAGATGCAGGGAAGGTCAGACATTGCGACTTCAAATGTGTTTTCTTCGTCCAAACTCTGAAGAACGCTGAAATCTAGCCATACGTGCTTGTTTCATNATGTGTTTTCTTCGTCCAAACTCTGAAGAACGCTGAAATCTGGCCATACGTGCTTGTTTCAGCTTGGATGCTAGTGGAAGAATCTCTAATTTCCACCACCTCATCTGCAACATCTTCCTCGATAGTCTCGTNAGCCATACGTGCTTGTTTCATCTTGGATGCTAATGGAAGAATCTCTAATTTCCACCACCTCATCTGCAACATCTTCCTCGATAGTCTCGTTCTCGATAGTTGCCTCTACCTCGGCTTTTTTGGCCTTGTCAGCGACTTCCTTCAAGTTTTCCCAAAAAAGCTCTGACCAGCTTAAGGGATCAAATGCCTAGGGGATCTGCGAATCCTTCTTACACCCCAGGGTATAGTCTAGGAGCACGTGGGCAGATCAGTCAAACCCGNTTGGCCTTGTCAGCGACTTCCTTCAAGTTTTCCCTAAAAAGCTCTGACCAGCTTAAGGGATCAAATGCCTAGGGGGTCTGCGAGTCCTTCTTACACCCCAGGGTATAGTCTAGGAGCACGTGGGCAGATCAGTCAAACCCGTTGCCGATGTACCCCCAGACAATGACGATGTCGTCAAAGCTAACTAGATGCCGAGGCGGGGGAACAGCTTCAACATTGGAGACTCTTGCACAAAAGAAGAAGAACATTAAAACTTGAGCAAAATTTATCAAGGCAAAGAAAATTGAGAAGAGAGGGAGATGTCAACATTCTTGTCGTTCGCTACTCCTTGGGACACCACAAGCTGTCGTACTCGGGGCCGACCCCCCTCTTTTGATTGTCACTAAAGACCAGCAGGTCATCCTTGTATGCCTTGTCCAAGTCCGAGAGGTGTGTCATAAGGTACATGGAGGGATCTCGGGCTTTAAAGTAGAATTTTTACTGAGGCATCACCCTCAACAAGGTGTAGTAGAAGAGGATGTCCTCGAGGCTGAGGTTGACCCCGAGATACTCGTTTAGGACCACCACTTCCATGATGATCTTAAATGTGTTGAGCCAACAATGCTCCTTGAAGAGACGGAATCAGGATAGAAAACGGAGGAGGAGTGGGTGCAGGGGAAATCTGATTCCACCCTCCATGACGGCTTTGGTATTGAAGGGCATGGCGTCCTTGGTGCCGACGGCTGTGCGATGACGTCCTGGGACGAACTCGTCCACGCCGACTCTACGAGGAATGGAGTAGTTGGTTTTGAAGTTGATGATTTGTTGGTGACCCTTGACCATAAATTTCCTCAGCCTAGAGGGTCTAGCCTCTTCGGCCTTGGCAACAGTACGACGACACCTCAACATATCTCAAAGAGGGGATTTTGGAGGGGCGTTTTCTAAAGTTAGGAAACCTAAAGGNAGCCTTGGCAACAGTACGACGACGCCTCAACATATCTCAAAGAGGGGATTTTGGAGGGGCGTTTTCTAAAGTTAGGAAACCTAAAGGACACTATAGAAAACAAAACGACGAAAAAGGAGGCGGAGGAACTGTGCTATACTATCAGAATTGAGATAAGGGAGGATGGAAGGCGAAGAGTTTATAGAAAAACAAAAGAGAGAGGAAGAAGAATTAAAAGATAGAAAATTGAACGAGTATACTCACCAAAATCGAAAAGCGCAGGAACAATGGTTGGTGGCCTTCTTCTTCAATGATTCTTGAAGGGTATGGCAGTGAGTTCAGGTGAGCAATCGATGGAACTTTGGCAAAAGTCCAAGTTGGCTAAAGATTATAAAGTAGAGAAGGTAAGGAAAGGCTCTGTTTATGTAGAGCCTGTTGCCATCATTGCACATAAGACACAAAAGGGGGCGCGTTTAATGGGGCACAACCTCCAAAGGCGAGAAAGCGGCTGCACAGCTAAGGAGTGGTTGAACCCTTTCATCTTCTTGCACCACGTCACCCATGTTGTACGAAGATCAAGGGCTGGGGGCAGTTGATGAGACACTTTTGAGAGTCCACCGAAGGCTGACATGTGTCCTCGACACCAAGGTCACCATCGACTAGAATGCTACCACTTGTCCACGGCACTAAGATATCAGAAGCTTGTGATGTTGTCATGTGTCCTCGACACCGAGGACATCAGAAGCTTGTGATGTTGCCATGTGTCCTCGGCACTGAGGACATCAAAAGCTTGTGGTGTTGACACGTGTCCTTGGCACCGAGGACATCAGTAGATTATGGTGTTGCCATGTGTCCTCGGCACCGAGGGCATCTCTATTCCCATATTATGACACGTTTCCTTGGTTTAGTTTGCCATCCACTAAGGCCTACTCTTTGACGTCACCCCGGATTCAGGACCTCAAGACATGGGAGGATAATTGAAGACTTTCATCACTTGAGATCACAACTGCCCATTCATTATTAACTTACTTTCCCAAAGAAGTCAGAATGGCAGAAAGGACAAGACCAGCAGCCAAAGGGTGTTGAACACGTGGCACAAAGTACAGAATTGAGTGTCAATGAACAAGAATGTCCTTGCTGACACACAGCAATCCCAGAAGAGTATTTAATAAACCCTCAAAAGGATGGGATGTCCATTATGCTCAGAAAGCTTAGAAGAAAGAGCATTAAAAGCTCGGGAGCCCGAGCATTTAATGTCGGAGCTTCCCCCATGCAAAACAGGAGGTGCTCTGCCCAATGACTGGACACTAACCACTGCCTCCTAAATAGACCAATGAGAAGCTTGTTCTTGACATGACCCACCTGTCAGTAATGATGACCTCCATGAAGGTTTAAATAGTTACAAAAAACTAAGGACAGAGGTATGCAATCTCACTCCAAAACATAAAACATTGCTTTTTCTATTCCCTTTCTCACACAAGTTGACCTGACCTTCAGAGGGGATAAGCCAAAAAATACTCTGGTGCCCTTCTAATTCTTCTTTTGAGTGTCAGGAAGCACCTTCGGCTCGCCGGAATCGATCGAACTGCTGAAAATGTAATTCATCACCACTCCATAGACTCTCTTTGGCATCCCTTCGCAACAGGACCGTCGACTCGAGGTAAATACGAGTTCACAAAGGGAGAGAGCTTTCTTTTTATTAATTGTGCAAAAATCACCACGCACAACTAGTATAATCCAATACAAGTCTTGGTTGGCGTTGGGTTCAGATGGAGGGAGACAATCTGGAATGGTTTTGAATTGGAAATCGGGCAAGCCACCAAGAGAATTAAAACCCAGCGAATTTAACAGGCGTTCGTGGTAGGATTCTGTGATGATGAAGGTTATGTTGAAGCCTCTATGATGGAGTAGCTTTGATAGTTTCATCATCGCTTTCACGTGGCTTTGAACTGGGACAAGTAGACAAACTGCGTGGGACTTCACATATACTGCTACAGAACTCATCTGTGTGTGTGTGTGTGAGACAATGTGTGCATGTAATGT